GAAGCGGCTATGTCTGGAGAGAAAGCGGAAGGCGGAGAGAGAGGCCGTGAATCACAGTTCATTAATTTCAAATGGCCTCATGCCGGTGTCAGCCGGGAAGGAGGCTTCCCAGGCCTCGGTCCAGGTGTTTGGAAATGCATCCAGCGGTCTGGAGTTTGAGTCTGCAGCCAGAAAATCTCCTCGGCCAACTGACAAATGAAACTTGTTTGCTCCTCCGCCGAGTCCCAAAGCTCTGCCAAGTGGGAGTAACACGAACTGCGAGTGGGACTGCAGCTAATGGTGATAGAACCACCTTGGAGCTGTGCCAGCCTCTTGAATATTTCAAAATGGCCGCCCTGTCATTAGCCGAAGAATGATGAACATCGAATCGGAGGGTTCCCAAGTGGGTGTGGGAATGAGTTGGCCAGCGGAACTCCATTATGTGTCGAGTAACTGTATTTATTGTTGTTTTTAATATGGCGAGGTATAAATATCATTATAAAATGTTACTTCATAGATGATTTGGTATATTAATATTAACTAAAGGGACTAACTATTAATTTATATAACGTTTGCAAATTATTTGTACTTCTTAGACACTGTTTTAAAACCATTCAAGCCTCTCATTTTCAAAAAATAGTTACAATTACATTGAAAATTATTAAACATTTTATAAAAAATATTTCAATCGAGCTTACTGAAATCCATAAACCACCATTAGTTGCAATATAATCGTTCCACATCAACAACCGACTGACAAAGCTTCATGTATGTCTGTACAGGCGTAAGTTGTCATCGAACCCCTTCCATCAAAAATAGCCTCTTTCAGCCACCCCACTCTGCCATTTTGCGTGGCCAAGACACTCCGATTGGCCAGTTTCCATTACACCCACGCTCCATCCAAATCCGTTGTCACCGTCCTCCAATTGCCCACTTAATGGATCGCAAGCGCAGTTAATAACTCTCCAAGAGAAGGCAATAAAACTGTGCCAACTTGGTTGGTAACTCCAAATCGGATTCTCGAACCGAACACGGGGGCAATTAAAGACTCAACCGCAAAACCGTTGTTAATGACAGCCGGCGGGTGGGGGCTGCTGAGTCCTGTCCGGTCCATAGCTGACCACGTGTGACAAATTGACGCTTTTTAATTTCGCCTGCACCCACACCACACTTGGAACGAAAAGTGCCACACGGATCTGAGTTTCGAACTCGCAGCTCCGAGCCCCGGAGTCCCAAGTTTTTAGCTGATTGATGACATCGTTGCGGTTGTTCTTGTTATTCCGTGTGCTGGCGATGCCTTTAAAAAGGTGTTTTCATTTTGCATGCGAAAACAGCGACCTGATTAATTGCCTCACCCAATCGAGAGGGGTAAGAGGAGTCAACCTGTACAGTGACTTTGCACTGGGAAAAGCAATTCTTAACAGAAGAACGATCCTTGTTAAACTGAAACTGAACACTATCATAGGTCAATTTACAGATTTATTAATAATAATCTTCTTTTAGATACAACAAATTGCGGTAGGCTTACTGGATGGTCACTTTAAATATCGATATTATTTCGATAACCGATGTTAAGCTAAGATAAGATCGTTTGTAAGCAATTTGGTTGTATAAAAGTTAAATAAAAGAAACGTGCTATCATTCAAAAAACAACATTTTAAATAATAAACTTATAACATTTTTAGTAAAGGTTTTTTCATTACAAGTAAAAATACCTATTTTTCGCTCTGTAAATTTTATTTAACAAATGATGTGCATGTCTGGTTTGGCGATAAGTAGCCAGCGAAGGCAGTCGCGGAGCTCATAATAGAGTTGAAGTGGCGCTGGGACTGCGAGGCAACCAAATCAAAATGTTAATGACACTCTCAATACAGTTATCACGGCAAGGCTCCAGGAGGAGGATGAAGAGGAGGAGTTGGATGGAGATGGAGACCTGGCCACTTGACCGAGCCTTTTAACATTTTTGCCATACCCATCGCAGTCGTTGCTGTTAAGTTGTCATTTCCATTATGACCATGTCGCTTTAGCATTTAACAAATAGTTGAGACATTTACAAGCGGCGATAAGCGGGCATACAGATCGTATACGAATACGTATACGTTGCTGGACGGGATCGGTAACGGGCAGGGGCATAGGCATAGGCATGGGCACTCCAAATGCTCGACGATTTGTGTTAATGTATTTATGCCCGAGAGCTAATTGATGTCGCCTTTATATGGCGAGGCAGCAAAGTTTAGTATTCATTTGGCCAGCGTCTCCACTCTACGCCTGTCAGGCATTAATCAAAGACGGCGGCCATAAAGCCTCATAAATATATGTTACATCCAGTCGTGGCCCACACAAAGTCCAGTCCATAATTGCCTGGCGCTTTTGACAAGCAAACACGATAATATGACAAGAGCAGTCAACGGCGCATCAGAAAAGTTATCTGCTGGCCAGCGAAAGACACAAAGAACTTTGGACCGGATGTGGATGATGCGCTTGGTTGGCTATGGCCACGATTATTACGGAGCCTTCTCCGGCGCCCTCGGTCTCCGAGCAATTTGTGTGTGTTGACAAGCGACCAAGTGACCAAGCTCCGTGAATGAAAGCCAAGAAAAATTGTAAAACGATAAAGCCAGGCAACACACGGTCGTGAGTCAAACAAAGACAAAGAAACCTATCGAGAACATAAATATGCATATCGAAAATGGCTTAGACAATATCAATTTGTCAGGAGATATGATAGAGGTCTGGGAAGGGAGGGAAGCCGAGCTCGTTGGTGGGCGTTTCCATTGTGTTACCAAATAGCCAGCGGAGCAATTTGAAATCGATTTGTCATTGAAATGGAATTGAGCCAAATCAACCTTATGGCCTGCACAGAAACAAATTGATTCTGTTTTTTGGTAGATATTTTTGTAACTTAAAAGTTTTAAGTTAATTAAATCGGTGAAATAGTTCTTTAAAGTTCTTCTGTATTATGGAAAGCAAAAGAATATATTTAATTTCTGTTTGTAGTTTGTAATTTAAAAAAACAAGACAGGTATTTTCTCTAAGTGCAAGCTCTTCCTCTCCTCTTCATTATAAATCATTTGCAGTGATCATTTCCGTGAACCGACAGAGACCTTTTGAGGCAATGCCAATGGCAATCAGCGAAAACACTTCCGATGAGATCGGCTTCGATTGCAGACCATTTATTGCAGTTCTTAGGAGAGAGAAAGACTCGTCAGCAGCACGTCCGGCATACACCTTTGCGTAATTCCCGCAAAACGTTTTGTTTGAAATTGAAATTGGTTTTGTTTCGCAAGACAATTTAACCGCAAATCGAGTAAAACGATAGGCCCAGCCCCTTTTTGGGCCGATCGTTTATGACTGAGCTTCAGGGCCCAAAGTGAAACTCTGAGAACGGATTTGAGAGCGATTTAGCATACCCTACAAAAAGAACGAACTACAAAATTGGACACGGCGCATCAGGCAGGCACGTTTCGTATTAAGAAAATCGCCGGGGCCGTAAAGACTCCAGGGGATCGGGTTATATCCAGGTTGAACCTGCAATTGGCTTGGACTCGGCCATGATGGCTGTGATGGCTATGAAATGGCCAAGACTCGGACTGGCAATCGCATTCACAGCGAATCAATTTCAAATAGCCATCCATCGTTTTGATCATCAACAAGTCAACGTCATCATCATCGGGCCAGCGAATTGCTGATTGCCGCAAAATCATTTTTGCATTTCGACCGGCAACAAAAACTCTTTGAGCTGATGTTGATGAAAACGATTTTAAATTATTTTATTGCAATTGCAAAATTGTATTGCCCGACTGGTTTGCTTTCAGCTCCGTCTCCTGCCTCCATGGCAGACTGAGTTTGGCTTACGGCTGACGGCTTTCGGCTTACGGCTTATGGCCATGCCGCATGGCTATATCAATTTTTTGCGCTTTTTCTGTTTTATTGCTACTCCATTAAAATTGAATTGACTTTTTGTTGTTGCTGCTCGCCCATGTTGTTGCTTTTGCTGTTGTATCTGTGGAGCCTGTTATTGTTGAAAATATAATAATGGTTATTACGCTGAAACGATTGTGCGATTGTTGTTAAATTAAAAATTATTGATTATGCCGCATACAGCAATGCAAAAATGTTGGTAGAAAACGATTATCCCAAATTTGAATGTATAATTATGTATAGCTCTACTTATTATTTTATGGTTTTAATTTTTGTCTATGAAATGGTATTCAGAATACAAAATGCAGTCAAATTATTATCCGTTAATAAATAAGTAAAAATTGTTATGTAGGGCAACTTATTGTAGTTTAAAATAAAATGTTCCTCTAATTGGGCAAAAAGTGACAGAAAGTCCGTTAGAGACGCTCCAAGATGCTCCGCCCATTATGACATCACAATTCTAAGATTCATCTTAAAAAATATCTTTTTTTAAATCGCATCGAAAATGTATAACTTAATGAATTAAGAAAGCCAATAGTATATCGGCGGATAAATATTAAAAAAAACATCAACTGTTTAACATAAATTTATTATTTTCCATAAATTTTTGTTTTCAAAAAATCAATATATATTTATTAACGCATTTCCGGTTGAAAGAGTAAGAGGGAGAAAGTGCCATCTAGGGTTGACTATCTAAATACCCCTCCTAGATGGCGCTTAATAATAGTCCACTTCTCGTAAATCTTACACGTAATGTATTATACATATGTAGTTACAATGTCAGAAATGCCAATTGGTAAAGTTGTTAGGTTCGTGTATCGAATAAATCGAAGCAAGACGGCAGTTCCAGAAGTTTGCCAGTTTTGGGACAGTCTCATACGAAACATGGTAAAAGTTATGTGGTGGGAAATTGTAAAAAAGTAAAACTGCATGATCAACGAGAGAAAGGAAATTAAATTGTTAGGAGTGTTGAAATCGTTCTAAAATGATCGAACTGTAAAAAAGCTCGAATAATTAGGAACTTGAGGCACTCTAAAAAGCCAAGAAAATGTTCGCCGAATATTCCAATATTCTGAAATGCAGTATTTAAAGAATTAACGAGTCCTACGAATATTTTATTCACAAATATACATATATTTCCATCTGCTATCATAAATCAATTTGACTTCTAAAGATCTCTATCACATTTCGACATACAAATGTACACTTAATTAGTAACTTTAAATCAAACAAGATAAAATCGGAATAAATTTAACAAATTACAAAGGAATTAATACAATGGCATTGAGAAGTGACGCTACTCTTCATCGCTGGAAGTGCTTATGATCTGCAAACGTCTTCGTTTATTGGCAGGTTCTGGTATCAACTTGGCTAGCCGGCGCTGTTTCCGTCGCTCCTTTAGAATGCGTTCGGCTTTCTCAAGTGGACACTCGGAAACATCATGCCCCCTTTCAATCGTTGAACTTTCATCGTCAACAACAAAGGAACATTGCATGTACTGTGAGGAATCGTCCTCAAATGGTTGAGAGAATATGTGGGATTCGTCGCGATATACTCGAGGTGGCGGCATCTTAAATGCACCTGGCCTTTGAATGGGGCTCCTAAATAAAATATAATAGCAACTTAGTAGCTAATATAGTTAATGACTACTACATACTTCATTGCACGGAGGTAAATGGCATGTGTGTTTGTGTCGTTGTGGTCATCGTCATCGCTGGAAACTATCACAGAGTCCTTCAGATATGCACCAATAGTGGTTTCTCCTTCCTCTTCATGATCCGAACCGCTTTTATCTGCCTCATCCAAAATAAAGGAATTGAATTTACTCTGTTTTCGTCGGGGTCTCGGCGGAGGTGTGGGCGTATCAGGCTGGAAAATATATCAAAGTCTAAGCAATTTAATAAAACCTTAAACACTTTCTAAACTATTTACCATTTGAGTGTCGGCAATTAGGATGCAGTCACTCGTATCGAAGTCCACTTCGGTTTCTGGTATCTGCTGCTTCTCTTCGTCCTCCTCATCAGAGCTTATGACAATCTTGCGCTTTAAAGGACGACGTGGAATTGGCGAATCTTCTTCGTCCTTATGCAATGATATAGAGGTGTTTGTTGAAGTCAGACGATGCAGGTTTTCAGCAGCTTTGGCAAGACGCCCTCGACCTCGCATTCGATTCAAATATAGATAGAAGATACTCGGAGATTTGTCTTGAGTCATAGGATTTGTGCGGTTACGGCTTTCTGGCGAATTAAGGGTTACTGGATTTGAATTTGGAGGAGTTTTAGGCAAAGCCTTCGCTTCTGTCTTGGCTGCCAATTTTGAGGCCAGAGTTTTACCTTGTGGCTTCCAAGGTGACAATGAGTCACTGCCAAAGATATCTGGCGAAACAGTACGACAATTCTGTTCGGTTCGTGCTACGGACAGTTGGTTATTTTTGGTTTTTGCATTTGGTGACAACAACTGCTTCTTCTGTTGGCTCATTAGTTCTAATTCCTCTGACATTGGCTCTAGGAAATCCTTAAAATCATCCTGTGTTAGCTGATTAGTTAACTGAAGTTCCTCTGCCATCGGTTCAAGGAATTCATTGAAATCTACGGCCATTAGATCGAGATCATCCTGGCAAATATTTTCTTTTTTCGGACTTGCTACCGCCACTTCCTCTGACTCAGTATTCGTAATACTTTTTGATTCTTTTTCCTTTATCTCAGTATTCAGCTTGACTTCCTCGTCCATTGGCTCCAGAAAATCATCTAAGTCGATATCCAAATCATCTATAGTGGATTCTGCTTGCGTTTTCAAATCTGGAGTGGACCTAGCCTCCACCTTTGTCTCGTCCAAGTCCATTGGAAATATTTCACTTTCTTGTACAATAGAAATCTTATTAGCTTCCGGATTGGATTCTGGAATAGGCTCAGGGGTGGATATATCTAACGCTTCAGTCTTAAAAATTGATTCACTGGAGATCATTAATAAGTTCAACCGACCCAGGTTGTCACTCAAATCGCTGGCCTCTACCCGGGAGTTGGTAATCATCTTCCTTCTCCTCTTGCACAGGATCGAATTTGTGTCTGGTTTTGGGCTTCACCCTTATGGGCGTGGAGCTATGGGGCGCTGCATCTATCGCTGAAAAATTCAGTTGCTGGCTCAGGTACACGGACTCACTTTTCACCTCTTCCTCCCGTTCTTCAAACTCCTCCTCTGTCCAGGAAGCTTCAACATTACCAAGTTGCTCATTTACTGTGACTTCCAAATTTCGCAGTTCCAGTTTTTCAAGAAGTTCTTGCTTTAGCTCAAAATTATCAAAGTTTAGACCTTGCTCATCTAGACCCTCGAATATCTTATCACAGGTGGTAAGGAACTCTTTCTCCCTTTGCTTATCTATGGGATCCTTTAGATCTCTGAAGCTGAATTCTGCAAGATTATTTTCCTCCCGAAGGAGCTCTTCCAACTTTTCAGCTCCTTCGCAAATGTCGAGAAGAAGCTGATAATTATTTTTAGTACGCTGCTGTCGGCTATTAAGACGTTCATCGGCAATGTTCAACTCACGTTGGACCTGCATCTTTTCATGTATTTCCCTTATGAAATCCGTATTGCTCTTCAGCAAGTAGATCTTTAATGTTCTGGGTAACTGCTCATCCCGCAGATGACTTATAAGATCTTGGGTGTCCGCGGTCAATGCCTTCTTGTGACTGAATGATACGAGTAAGTTTTCGCAGGCGTTGAGCGTCTTCCTGGCTGTTAGTTATAGTTGCACTGGCTTGAGATTCTACTAAGAAATTCTTCAGATTAACACTGCGTCGCAGCACTTGCTGTTTGACCATTTGCTGGGATGCATCGCTCATTTGGTAGGGCCGCATTCCCTCAAGGATTCCCTGCTGACTCTCCGATGTGGTGCTTTCCTTGAAATATTTCCTGAGGCTGCCAGGCTTAACAACAGATTGCTTCAGTTTCTTGTTTTCCTTAGTCTTGGCAGATATCGAAGGCTTGGGTTTCTCCTCCGCAACAGGTTCCATGTGCTTCTCTTCGCACTTCGGTTGAAATTGTGAGGGCACCATTCGTGAACTATGTTGGTTTAGCGACAATTTGACGATCGATGAGTTCAATAGCTTTTTGTTAATCTGATCTTTGTTCGCCAGAACATCCCTAAGAACTTGTTGTTCTCGTCCTTCCGTAACCAGCATAACCACCTCCCCGTTCTTCTTTCTTCCAGTTCGCCCGATCCTTTGAACGAATCTCGTGGGATTAGAGCTGCAGATATCGAAGCATACTATCATCTCTACCTCGCCAACGTCTATGCCCTCCTCTCCGATCGACGTGGCCACCAATACATTGCTAACGCCTGATCGAAAGTCAGCCATGATCTGTATCTGCTGCTTCTGGGTAAGAGCACAGCTGGCTCCCACGGTGCTGCCCTGGCCAACAAAGCAGCGCGGTCGCAGTACCGGTCTGTGCTGAAGGAGTAGTCGGTGGATCAGCATGACGGACTCACGGTACTCGCAAAACACAATGGCGCGGGATTCGGAACTCGACTGTCAAAGATAAAAAAATTGCTTTGTTAGAATTTGATTATTGAATTTCTGCAAATTACATTTATCTAAACTAAACTAGTTGGTTCTTATCCAGAATCCTGTAATAGGTAAACCTCTTTTTTAAAGGGCATTTAAGATTTCAAGAAATCAACCAATACTTTTCTGTGCAGTTACCTTAAAGTGCTGCACCAACACCTCTCGCAACTTCTCATACTTGGCATGTCCAAAGTCCAGATTCGCGGGCAACGAAGGCACTTCTCCGTTCGTCATGGCATTTGTTGTGTAATCCAGTGGATTGGCACCCAGTCCCTGTCGCACTTCCTCCACCAAGTTCCTCAAATCACCATCTCTTGCTAGAACAAATTTCTCACGCCCGTCCTCGTCTGCATCAAAATTGTTGACAAAAACCCGCAGACCATGGCGCTCCATCAGTTCCAGCGAGTGATACATACTGATGCACATGGCAAAGTTTCCCATTATAATGCTGTGATCAGGATGTCGCTGCCCTTGCTTCGAGCGCTCAGTGAAGGATTTCTGTTCATAGAGCAAACTGTTTTTGCTCACGCTCCCCTTGTTGCCTCTAATAATTTCTGCTTCTATCAGCTGGCGTAGATAAGGTTCGATGATCTGCAGCAATCGTTCCCTCGGCTCCTTGATCCTTTCCTTCAGGGAGACTACTATAGTTCGAATGGTCCGTCTGTGTATGTAGGGCTGTACATCAATCGAGGTGTCCCAGCGAACCTGCAGATTCGAGATGTAAAGGTTTTGACACACTGTTGCCACATCCTCCATGGTTCTTCCCGGAGTGGCAGACAGAGCAAGCATTCGGAAGTTCCTGTTCCGCGCCATTTGACAGTCGGCCACTTGGGTGTACGCATAACGACCTTTGGCCCGGTGCGCCTCATCTACCACCATTAACTTTATGGACCCAAAGGGAAAGATGGGCACGCCATCCGCCTCCAGCATGTCGGAGTGCACCACCTGGGGCGTGGCAAAGAAGACGCGCTTGGTGGCCCATAGTTCAGCTCGTTTGGTTCTCGGAAGCTGGCCTGTAAGTTGCACAGTATCGGCCGAGGCGAATGGCATTATCTTCTGGGAGGCATGTATCTGCTGCGACACCAGAGGCCTGGTGGGTGCCATGAACACGATCTTTCCGTTGGGATACCACCTGTAGAAGTTGTACATCAGCACCGCCGCTATGAAGGTCTTTCCCAATCCTGTTGGAAGCACCACCAGGGTGTTTTTGAATAGCGCCGTCTGGACGATGTTTTGTTGATAGGATCTCAGGGGCAGATTGTTTGGGTAGATCCAGTTGTGCCCGGTGGCCATATCAAACCCTTCGCAGGCTTCATCTGACAGTGATTTTCCTTTCGATCTGTCATTCTCCTGAATATCACGGATAATAGAATCGATAAATTCCTATTTTATAGATTAATTCAAGTAAATACCTCGGTTTCCAGTTGTTCATGTTCTGCTAAAGCCGCCACCAGGTCATCATCATCATCTACCCAATCCACATCCATTATAAGACAAATCTTAAGATAACAAATCGGCGATCAACATTTTGTTTTGAACGATTTTGCGCACATAAATAATTTGTTGATAATGAATGGTTATTGTTTTTATTGCCGCCAATCGGTATCGGAAATGACAGATCGATAGGCTTTTGATAAGTGAGCAAGGCGGGAGAAAAAAGTATCGTTTAGATTTTAAAATTTATTTAAAAAAAAAAAATTTAAAAAAACATGTTATTTAAGAGTTAAATATTGAAAATCGAAGTAAATAAAATAGTCGATAAATTTCAGTTTTATTGAACTTATATGCTATAATTTTGTTTGCCCTAGCTTAAAATTATTTAATAGGTTCAGGGTCAAATCGATGTTTAACAATAAAACTCCCAAAACAATTTTTTATTTCTCAGAGCAAATATTTTGTCATTTAAATTAAAATGAATTTCCGTAAATTTTGGATAAATGTTTCATTTAAATCGAACTCTGAATCTGTTTTTCTGTTGTGCAGTGTTGCCAGACCACATGAATTAAATGTAAGGTACTGTGTTAAAACAGTGGCAGCGCTGGTCCAGATGGCGCCCCCTTTGCAACTGTAATAAAAATGTCATTGTTTGCCTAAATGTAAAATTTAAAATCATCTTTAAATTTAAGATGTTATTTTCATTATACAAAATATAAAATTGAAACGTTAAATTAATACGAAAATATGTAGTTTGTTTTATAGAGCTATATATTTTTAAAAATCAATGTCCCTGTTCTATAATGAGTTAAATTAACATCTTTAGAAAAGTTAGATCCTTGTTATTTAGATAAATATAACAAAACTCAGACCTCACAGTTTGCCCGGAAACGGATTTAAAGGAGCGTGGCCAACGTCAAGCCCCATTAAATGTCGCCAGTCCGTAATTGGGCGAGTACACTGCGTGTCTTTAGATTGCCCAAGAACTTTTTGCGATAATTCTGCCGTAGATGTTCTGATTGTCTTAAATTAGGCGCTTCCAACGAACGCTGATCCGTCCGTCCAAGTGTCTTGTATTTTGCCATTGAAAAGAGCTTGCGATGTGAAGGGAACAGAGAAGTTTGACAATATGAGTAATGTGTGTATTACGCCATTACTTGAAAAAAGTACAAAAGGTATTACGAAAGATTTGACAATAATATTTCCATTTTTTCATTTCAATATAATTTTAAAATAGATATAGATTGGTGTTGAGATTGGATGAATTAATATTTCACTGGAGGCATTCTCTGTGGTTAAGAAGTTTCGTGAATAGCTGCAACGCCATGGCAAACCCACCCTTGAACTTAGCTTTCGACCAATCCTTGCCCCGCTGGTGATAAGAGAAAATGATAATTAGCAGTCACACACACTGGGCCAAGTTTAATGGAAAAACGTACGTAAATAGTAGCAATCTCATTTAAAAATCTCCGACTAATGAGCGCTGACCGTGATTGGGGGGAAAACTGAGAGGAATTACCCCACACCCACGGAAAAGCGAAGAGCAAATGCACCAGGGAACTCTCCGAAATGTAATTATATCGCATTATTTGTCATTCCGAGCAAATGAATTGAAACAAATTTAGTGTGACAAATGAATTGTTCACTTACATGGGCGTACGTGTGTTTTCTGAAGGGTGAGAGGGGCGCTGTGGGCGGGGCACCCCGTGGTAGCCACCGTGAGTTGGGACAAAAATACACGGGCACACGGGTACACGGCACACATGAGACACACTCAATTTGCTGGCTCTCTAGTCAATTTCATTTCATTTGCATGAAGTTCTCCCTCAGTTAGGGCCTCTCTCTTTATATAGACAGTATATATATCTGGGTGTGCGTACGTACTATCTGTGGGATATCTGTGGACATTATGCCTTTTGCCTAATTCAGCTTTATGAGCCATGTCTAATTACCAAATGAATTGTGCAATTATTTATTTTTGTTTATTAATTGGCTGCCGCTCTAATGAGCCTAATGACCAGATATCTGAGAGTAGATACGTTCGTATATCCTATATATGCGTATGTGATGAGTCAGAGATTATTGCGATGGCCTGCCTTGCCCGTTTGCCCGACATGGCCAACATAAATGTCATGACTTATGTGGCTCTGATGCGATGCGGTTGCCATACCCTTTTCGACTTCTCGACTTATCTCTGACGACGCCAAGTCGCCAAGTTACGAGTATTTGCGGTTGGCAGCATAACGAGCACTTTCCATACAAAGTTGCCCAAGCGGAAGCAGTCACCATGGAAAACAAGGCCAGAAAGGGCGCAGACCCATTTATGCAAAGTGCTTTCGGTCGGAGATGGGGTGATATGAGGGCTCTTCGATGCGGCTAAAACAGTCACTAATAAAGTATATGACAAAAAACTTATTTAAATAATTATACTTTGACGTATTTAATGACATTTTACACTCATTAAAAATATTTGATCAAAGTAAATTATTATTTCAGGATCATTACTACTAAATTACGTTAATTAAATATATGTAATTTTTATACTGGGTATCATCGTCGTTCAGAGATTTTATTACGTCATGTTGTTATACAAAAAGTTTTAAAGTTTATGTAGATTACAAGTTAATATACATTTTATTTACAGTTCTTTATGTCAAATAAATTTCCTCCAGTGTCTCCCTACGATGCATTTTCTTTCTGCGGCTCTTGAAGGATGCATCTCCGGCTCATAAATGAGCAATGGCCCTGCGGCTTGTGCAACTCATTAGCACTTATTAAAACTAAGTGCTGGGGACCTCGGGCGGAAATGGGCCGGGATTTGCGGTGCCGGTTACGATGGGTTGGCGACAGCTGCGCCAGTTAGTAATCAACTTTTCAGCAATTGTCTGTCGCAGTTGCAGTTGCAGTTGCAATTGTAGTTGCAACACAAATTGGGGCTGCAGTGGCATTTCACCGGTTGCCAGGTCCCAGAACTCAGAACTCAGCGGCGCGTGTCGCCAACAGACAAACAAACAAATGAAGAAATAAATAAACAAAGGCAAATGCAGCTCAAAATGGCTGCCAATTATCTTGGCTGCCATATTTGTTTCCCCGGTTGTTGCCGGGCAATAAAACATTTCGTTTATTAGCCAAGCCACCACCCGAAGGTATTCTAAGTGGAAACTTGGCCACCACAGAAAGAAATATTAACGAAATGTAAAGATTAGCATTAAACATATATAGGTAATGTGTGATAGGCATAGACAAATATTGTCTTAATATTAATGTATCTAAATAACCTAAAATATATTTAAAAATGTACATTTTGTGGTTCTTATTTAGAAAATATCAATTTTTATGTTTTTCCAAAAAGTATCTATGTTTTTTGTAATGATCTTAGATAGTACATTAGCCAAGATTCTTAAAGTGGAAGAAGAATATAAATAACATGACCTGAGATTTCGTTCTTTAATTCTTCATTAATGTTTCTATTACCAGTCATTTTTCTCCGTGCACAGATTCAAAACTTTCATTAGCTGAAATTGCCAAAAATTGCTGGCAAACTTTTTGTTAGCTCGTGTCTGCGGGCAGTTTGTTGAATGTATTTGAACAGCACCTGCAGGATCAGATACACCGGAGGCCGCATTCATCAGGACACGCCCATGGCGAGCCACGAACACTTCACACTTTCACAGGACAGAACAAAAGGATGCGGCGATGTGAGTCAACGAAGTTAAATAACAAATTGGTCAACACAATTTCATTATAAAGGCAATAGCCATCTCCATCTCCGCGAGGAACCCATCAACCCTTCATCAGATTATAGGGCAGCTGCAGGCGCCGCTGCCCAGACGATGATCGAATCGATTAACCCTAACGCGACCAATCCTTTTGCATACGTGCCGCACCTGTTGTCATGGGTTAATCGGGCTGCTCTTCTAAGTGCTGACTGCCATGCGATCGGCTGGCTAAGGGATCGCCATCGCTTGATGGCTATCGACTCTAATGGCGTCCAGGGCATTAAATCGCCCGACAGCTTTAATGGCCCAAGAAAGGAAAGTCATTTGGCGTTATGTTTACCCTGGCAATTGGACACGGCCAACAGGATGTGCTTATGCGGGGAGAGCACGCATCCTCGATCCGGATCGCTGGTTGGTAGGTGTGAACTCCCAAAAACTGTGCCGTTGCATAATTATATGCAATTCGTACGCACTAAGGGTCCTTTGAGGTCCTTCCAAGAAGGTCAGGCTACCGAGTTACCTGCTGGGCTCGCTCTCCTTGACCAGAGCGATCAATGAATGGAAGCCGCCTATTTGTTCATATAAAGTGCGTGGGTGTGCCCGGGCTGGCAGCTGGCCAAAAAATACAAAAAATTAGGCCAAGTCGCACGAGTTACAAGTGCATTCATTGTCACTTTTCACATTAATTAAATGTTATATATTTTACGAAACTAATTTATGTAATTTTGAAGAGAAAAACTAAACAATTGTTTGATATTAGTTTATCATTTGAATATTAATAATTATTAATAAAATAAATTCCTTTTAGAGGCATTTTCCATTCTCCCTATTTATAATTTTATTTACAGATGGAAACTTTAGTAGAATTTATAAGATATATACAAGTTGGTTCCTTAAAAACGAGATTTAAAAACTTGTCAATTCTGATATTATAAGATCTTTTCGATTCATATTCTATCACAGTGTACATACATAAGAAAACTATAAAAAAAGAAAGAAGTGTATTATTTTAACAATTTATTATCTCTAAAATGTTCATAAAAATTTGAATAAAACCTGTAAATGTGCAAGCTAAGAAAATATATTAAAAATAATATTTTCCCATTAGGTACTAATTAGAAGCAAATTCATAGTGGCTTAATTATTAGAGGAAAGTAAATTTAAAACCACCAGAAGATAAAATTCAGAACGTTTTAAATCGCGCGCGTGCTCAAGTGCTACTAACTTGGCCATAACTTGCTTAATTAGCAGTCAATATCACGCACTTCATATCGTCCAATTAATTTAGCATATTACTACGGCTAACTATGAGTTACAATTTGCCGTGTGGCAATTACCTGGCTCGCAACATCGTTGCTCCGCAGTTGACGGCTTCGTTTGTTGCAGCAGCGCC